TCGTAGCAGTAGTAGCAGTAGTCGTAGTCGTAGTAGTAGTAGTAGTAGTAGTAGTAGTAGCCGTAGCAGTAGTACTAGTAGTAGTAGTAGTAGTAGTAGTAGTAGTAGTCGTGGTAGTAGTAGTCGTCGTAGTAGTAGAAGTAGTAGTTATAGTCAAAGAAGGAAGTAGTAGTCGTAGTGGTAGTAGCAGTAGTAGTAGTAGTACTAGTAGTAGTACTAACAATATTAGTACAAGTAGTTATACTACTACTACTACTACTACTACTACGACTCGTACTAGTAGTATTCTAGTAGTAGTAGTAGTAGTAGTCGTAGTAGTGGAAGTCGTACTTGTCGTGGAAGTAGTAGTAGTAGTAGTGCTAGTAGTAGTACTACTAGTAGTAGTAGCAGTAGTAGTAGTAGTAGTAGTCGTACTCGTATTCGTACTCGTGCTCGTAGTAGTAGTAGTAGTAGTAGTAGTACTAGTACTAATAGACCTGGTAATCGTAGTAGTAGTAGTAGCCGTAGTAGTCGTAGTAGTAAGAATGGTAGTAGTAGTGGTAGTAGTAGTAGTAGTGGGTAGTAGTAGTAGTTGTAGTGGGTGGTAGTGGGTAGTAGTTGTAGTAGTCGTAGTAGTAGTAGTAGTAGTAGTAGTAGTAGTAGTAGTAGTAGAAGTAGTACTACTACTGGTACTAGTACTAAGAGTAATAGACCTGGTAGTCGTAGTAGTAGTAGTAGTAGCCGTAGTAGTCGTAGTAGTAAGTAATGTAGTAGTAGTAGTCGTAGTAGTAGTAGTAGTAGTAGTAGTTAGTAGTAGTAGTAGTAGTAGTAGTAGTAGTAGTAGTAGTAGTAGTAGTGGGTAGTAGTAGTAGTAGTAGTAGTAGTGGGTAGTAGTTGTAGTAGTAGTAGTAGTAGTAGTAGTAGTAGTAGTAGTAGTAGTAGTAGTAGTGGTAGTAGTAGTAGTAGTAGTAGTAGTAGTAGTAGTAGTAGTAGTAGTAGTAGTAGTAGTAGTAGTAGTAGCCCGTAGTAGTAGTAGTAGTAGTAGTAGTAGTAGTAGTAGTAGTAGTAGTAGTAGTAGTAGTAGTAGTAGTAGTAGTAGTAGTAGTAGTAGTAGTAGTAGTAGTAGTAGTAGTAGTAGTAGTAGTAGTAGTAGTAGTAGTAGTAGTAGTAGTAGTAGTAGTAGTAGTAGTAGTAGTAGTAGTAGTAGTAGTAGTAGTAGTAGTAGTAGTAGTAGTAGTAGTAGTAGTAGTAGTAGTAGTAGTAGTAGTAGTAGTAGTAGTAGTAGTAGTAGTAGTAGTAGTAGTAGTAGTAGTAGTAGTAGTAGTAGTAGTAGTAGTAGTAGTAGTAGTAGTAGTAGTAGTAGTAGTAGTAGTAGTAGTAGTAGTAGTAGTAGTAGTAGTAGTAGTAGTAGTAGTAGTAGTAGTAGTAGTAGTAGTAGTAGTAGTAGCAGTAGTAGTAGTAGTAGTAGTAGTAGTAGTAGTAGTAGTAGTAGTAGTAGTAGTAGTAGTAGTAGTAGTAGTAGTAGTAGTAGTAGTAGTAGTAGTAGTAGTAGTAGTAGTAGTAGTAGTAGTAGTAGTAGTAGTAGTAGTAGTAGTAGTAGTAGTAGTAGTAGTAGTAGTAGTAGTAGTAGTAGTAGTAGTAATCGTAGTAATACTCGTCGTAGTCGTAGCCGTAGCCGTCGTAGGAATAATAGAAATAGTATTGGTCGTGGTGGTCGTACAGGAATAGGGAGGAGGAGGAGGAGGAGGAAAAGGAGGAGGAGGACGAGGAGGAGGAGGGAGGAAGAGGAAAGAGGAGGAGGAGGGAGGAGGAGGAGGAGGAGGAGCAGGAGGACGAGGAAAAGGACGGGGTGGGGGTGAGCGGGGAGGAGGGGGAGGAGGAGCGGGAGGAGAAGGAGGAGGAGGAGGAAGAGGAGGTTTTAGAACCAGTCCTTTCCACCGCCGGAAAACAAGGGGGGACCAACAATAAATAATTATCGCGAAGTTACTCGGGCCCCGTATGGAAGGCCTTGAGTCAGAGAGTGACGAATTGAGGCAACGGCAGCTCAAAATAGTTCCTCGGACCCCTCTGGGGGTCCAAACGCGCCAATTGTCCGAGCTGCGCGCAGCCGTGGCGACGAGGGGGCTCCGGCCCCCACGAAGGCCAACGACCGACTGGCGGCGAGCCCAGGGGGAAGTGAAAAGGGGCGGGCCTCTTCAGAAGGCTCGACAAACCTCGAACTTTCTAAGGAAGTTTCTAAGACAACTAGGCTGGCGGAGGGCCCGCACATTGTAGTTGTGAGCGCCCTCGTTGTGAGTATTGCCGTCGGTGGATATTTTTATGGGGACACGAAGCGCGTGAAGGGTGCGCCGACATGTGGCGGGACCACCATGCGGGCGCTGCCACTGGGGCCTTCGATGGAATTCTCTGTGGGGCCGCAACGCGTGCGAAGGATTCGCGGAAATCGAATCTGGAATCGCATGCCCGTCCTGCTTTTGGAGCCTTCGGTGGAGCCCCATGTGGGGCGATGAAGCGTGCGAGGGGTGAAACAGAATGGGGGCGGAACCGCATGCGGGCGCTGCCGTAGGGCCTTCGGTGGAGCTCCCTACGTGGCCATGAAACGTGTGAGGGGTGCACCGACATGGGGGTGGAACCGCATGCGGGCGCTGCCGCTGGGACCTTCGGTGGAGATCTATATGGGGGCACGAGCCGTCTGAATGGTGTACCAAAATGTAAGCCACATGCGCACTTTGCCACTTGGGCCATCGCTGGAACTCCCTGCGGGGCCACGAAACGTGTGAGGGGTGTGCCGACATGGGGGTGGCACCGCATGCGAGCTTTGCCATTGGGGTCCTCGGTGGAGCTCCCTATGGGGCTACCAAGCGTGCAAGGGGTGCGCCAAAATGGGGGTGGAACCGCGTGCGAACTTTGCCCCTGAGGCCTTCGGTAGAAAGCTCCCTATGGGGCCACGAGCCGTGTGAGGGGCGTGCCGTGATGGGCGGGGGACCGCGTGCGAACTTTGCCACTGAAGCCGTCGGAGGAACTCCCTATGGGACCACGAACCGTGTGGAGGACGTATCGGCATGGGCGAAGGCCCGCACGCGAACTTTGCCACTTAGGCCGCCGGCGCATCTCCGGCCACGAGCCGTGTGATGGGGTGTGCCGATATGGGGGTGAAGCCGCATGCGTGCTTTGCCACTGGGTCCCTCGGTGGAGCTGCCTATGGGGCCACGAACCGTCTGAGGGGCGTGTCGACATGGGCGGGGAACCGCATGCGAACTTTGCCCCTGAGGCCTGCGGCGGAGCTCCCTACGGGACCACGAGCCGTGTTAGGGGCGCGCCGAAATGGGCGGGGAACCGTATGCGAACTTTGCCACTGAAGTGTCCTTTATACCTCATGCGCGGAGCTCGCTGCGAACACAGACCGCCCGAGCGCCAAGTATGCGGCGTCACCTGGGACAACCGCGCGAGGCACCCGCCAAGCCGTGCCGCCCCTGAGTGGGGGCACTCCGTGCCCCCCGCCGCTACGCAGAGGCCGAGGCTCACCTGCTCGGCGTGCCGACTGAGGTCTGCGGCGTCACCTGGGGCACCCGCGCGGGACACGCGCCAAGCCGTGCCGCCCTCAAAAGAGAGCAGGCCACCGACGCCACTCACTCCCTCAGGAACCACTGGCGGGGCGCCAGCTGGTGGAGTGCAGCGTGCGCCGCAGCTCGTCGCTGGCCTGGGGCTGGTAGTCGACTGCCCGCCGCAGGATGCTGCCCGCCACAGCGAACACGCCCTCCCAGTCGGCCGCGCCGTCAGCCCCAGGCCCTCCAGAGGCCACCGCCGCCGCGGCCGACGGCGCAGCGTCCGCCACAGGCGGGCCGAACCCGCGCCCGCAGCCCCCGCTGCCGCCGCAGCCGCCGCCTGCGGGGCCTCAATGAGCCGCCGCGGCTTCTGCGGCCCGCGCCTTCGAGGCAGCGCTGAGCCAAACTGCGCAACTCGAGACCCCGAGCGCCGACGACTCCGCCACGGACCAGCCCGCCGGCAGCCGCCACCTCGCCGCCCGCGTCGCCAGGAACGGCGCCAGCCGCCCCCCGAGGCGCGACGACGAGGGCGTCGGCGAACGAGTTGTCAACCGAGCCGTCGTCTTTGTCTCTGTCGCCGAGGGCGGGGTCCGCCGCGCCGCCAGCCTCCAGGCGCCACGGCAGCCGCAGCCGCCACCTGCGCCCTCCAGGGAGCCCCAGCGCCACCGCCATCAGGACCTCCGCCATCACGATCACTCTCCTGCGCACGCCGAGCCGCCAGGCGCTCGCGGCGTCGGCGGCGCCGCACGCGCTCCGCCTCCGCCGCCGCACTCGCCTTGGGTCCGCCGTCGCCGTCGTCCGCCACCGAGCCGCCAGCACCAGCAGCGCCACCACGCGCGGGCCACGGGCGCGCAACATCGGATGCTGCCGCGGCCACGGCCGCCCAAGGTGCGCCGCGGCGCTCCAGCGAGCTGCGCCTCGCGGACCGCCGCCTCCACGAGGGCGGCGTCCTCTTGGCCCCACCATCCCAGCCCCGGCCCCCGAAGGAGCCACACCGGCGACGGCGGCGGCCATGCAATCGCTTGAGCCAAGATGCCACTTGAGCCAAAATGGCTACAGAGGTCACTGAGGTCTTCGGTGGAGCTTCCTGTGGGGCCACGAACCCTGTGTGAGGTGTGCCGAAATAGATATGCGGAGGGCAGATGCACGCATGGGAAGAGGGAGGAAGGGGAGGAGGATGCGGAGGACAGAGGCACGCATGGGAGGAGGGAGGGGGGGAGGAGGAGCGGAGGAGAAAGCGGGGCGCTGTCTCTTCAAAACGAGGACCCAACACCACATGATGCTTGGGAAAAACTTCTCAAAGGCGCGAGGGCTTCTGAAAAGTCCCGCAGCGTTCTGAGAAGGCCGTCTCCCTCTCACTTCCCCCCCTCCTCGATCGCCGCCGAACCGTTGACTAAACCCGCTCTCCGCTGACTCAGTGGACCCGCACCAGGGGTCACTCCTGAGCAGGGCCACCCTTTCGCGTGGCCGACCCGCCTCGAGGGCGACGCGCGCCAGCAGGGCCGCGCCCTCCGGGTCCGTAGACGCCACCGCCAGCAGCTCGTCCAAGCCCGCGCCGCTGGGCAGTTCGCGCAGGTGGCACGCGGCCTCGAACTGGAAGCGCGCCAGGGCCTGCTCGGAGCTGGGCCAATCGAGAGAACGGTCATTGAGCGACGACCCGAACGGAGTGTTCCTCGCGATGAACTAGCGACCTCACGCGGGGCCGCCAGCGCGGCAGGCTGCACTGGAAACGAGGGCGCTGACGCGTGACCTTCCGCGGGGAGCTTCCGCGCGACTGTCCGCGCCGTCGAGCTCGTGTTCCTGCGTCGCTCAGCGGGCTGCCGGGAGGCCTCCTCGTCGCCACGGCTGGACGCGGCTCGGCACGCTGCTGCGCCTGGACCCCCGGAGGGGTCTGGGGACAGATGTTGCACAGCCGCTGTCTCGGCGCGGCCGGCTCCGAGCCTGGTCGGTGGCAGCGCCGGCGGCGCCCAGCGCACGCGCCCCGTCCCTCACGAGGCCCGAGCGCCCGCGCGTGGCCCACAGGCGCGCCCGCTGCCGCAGGTCCCGCGCCTCGGCCGCGCCGCCCTCGCCCGCGCGGGCGCCCGCCTGCTGCAAGAGGGCCTGGCACAGCGCAGCCGCGCACCTCCCCTCGTCGGCGGCCGTGCCGCCGCACCGCGCGACCAGCTCGTGCGCACACTTGAACATCGACACGCTGCTGCTCCAGTCCCGCTGCTCGGCGAAGCCTGTGGCCTTCGCATGAAGGGGGACGAGGAGGCAGCGGCAACTCAGAATCTGTCCCTGGTCCCTCCCGAGGTCCAGGGGCACAAATTGTCCGAGCTGCGTCTGGCCGTGGTGACGGGAAGGCCTCCCGAAACCCAGCTACTCTGGATTTCAGAATCAAAGGTTGCTGGATTCTTTCTGGAGGGTCCGATTTGCGCTGTCTTGGAGGGTTTCGTGGGGCCTGGGCACATTGCCGTCCCTTCATGGCTGGTCTGACTGCCCGTCTGGAAGGGTTGTGTGACCCCCGCCCTTTTGTCGCGAGATGTGGAGCACCGCAGTCTCAACCAGGAGAGCCCATAATCGAATCGATAAGTCGGATCGGCAATCGAAATACATCTAATCGGTTGAAATCGGCAGCCGAGTCGGGAAGAGTCGAATCCTCGGACATCGGCAAGCTCGTAGGCCTCCATTCAGAAATCGGAATCCAAACCGGAATCCCAAGCCGAGTGGAATCGGAATCGGAGGCCATCGACATCGAACCGAACCGAATCGGAGGAATCGACATGAGCCCTGCCAGCTCGCCCCTCCGAGGCCTTCTGCCAGGCAAACTCGAGGAACCACCCCGCCTCGTTCTCGGGCAGCCCTCGGAGGGCAGCCGCGGAGCCCAGGTGCTGCGCCAGGCGCGATGCTGGCTCCCCACGCGCCTCGCAGGTCTCGAGGAGCGTGCGGAGGACCCGCTGCTGCGTGACGCCGGCCTCCTCCGCGGCCTGAGAGGCCTCCCAAACTTGGTCAAAGCAGGTGGAGTCGGAGGATCGCGACGCATCGCCGATGCAGCGGCAATGCATCGCCGACGTCGGCGCTGCATCGGCGCCGTCGGCGTGGAGAAAATTCGGGCTCCACGTCGAGCCGCATCGCCGAGGCATCGGCGATGCGGTGCGATCCTCCGACCCCACCTGCTCGGGCCCCATCGGGGAGGCTGCCAGAGGCCTGGGCGTCGTCGCTCACGATCCGCAGCAGCAGCTCGAGGCAGTCCGAGAGCATCGCCGAGGGCGGCTGCTGCTTCCCAGCCTCCTGGACGACGTACGCCATCTGCCCCACCGATAGAATGACCTCCTGCGACGAGGCGCGCGCGAGCAGACTGCCGACGAGCTCGGCCTCTCCCCGGCGGAGGGCGTCGAGCAGCACAAACACCGCGGCCGGGGCGTCGGAGGGCTCGTGGGCCAGGGCGGTGTCCGCGCAGCGCCGTGCCTGGTCCAGCTCGCCCGCCTCCCGGTGGCAGGCCGCGAGCGCCCTCCACCCAGCGGCCACGCGACCCTGCTCGGTGAGGAAGGGCAGTGCGCGATTCATCCACATCGCCGCGGCCTGCGCCTGCCCACGGCGGCAGAGCGCGCCACCCAGGCCCCACAGCAGCTGCGCGAACTTCTCCGGCAGACCGCTGGGACGCTCCGGGCAGGCCTCGACCTCGTCGAGGAGCTCGCAGAGCCGGTCGACCGCCTGCTCCGGGCCTCCCAGGCTTTCGCCACCCTCCTCCACACGGTTCGCAAGCAGCTGCGCGCAGAAGAGCCACGCGGACCCAAGCTCCTCTAGGTTGCCCCCGAGCCTCGCGCGCAGCCGCGACAGGCAGCGGAGGCACGTGGCGTCGAGGCCGTGGTCCGCCAGCTCGCGGCAGACGTCCAGGCAGTCCTGAGCCTTGGCCCGCTCGTGGGCCACAAACTCCAGCGTGGCCTCCAGGGCCTCCCTGTCGGCAGTGGGCCGGTCGGCCGACGCGGCCCCCGGCGCGCAGAGGGCGCCGAGCATCGCGCGGAGCGACCTGGCATGCCCCGTGGAGCCGCGCGTCTCCAGGCGGACGGCCTCGCGGGCGCGCGCCATGGCCGTCGCGTGCTCGCCGAGGTCCGCGTGGCATGGCACCACCTGCCGGAGCAGCTCCGCCCGCTCTGGCTGCGCCCGCGCCGAGCCCGCCCCTGCCTCTGGCGGCAGCATCGTGCACGCCAGGGTCAGGACGTCGATCGCCCGGCGGCTGTCGCCCAGCTTCCGCAGCCGCGCGGCGTGGCGGCGGCACTCGCGCAGCAGCGTGCCCCTGCATGAGCCCACGAGCGCGGGCGAGCCCCTGAGCGCCTGGCAGGCCTTCGAGAGGGCCACAAAGGCCTGGTCGTGGCTGTCGCCCAGCGCCAAGGCCTCCGCCATCCACAGCTGCGCCTGCAGCGACGCCTCGAGGAGGCGGTCGCTCTCCGCGACCGATGCCGCCCGCGGCCCGTCGTCCCTCGCGTACGCGTCCGACGCGGCGCCGGACCGGGTCAGGCAGCGGACGGCGGCCCCGGGGGCGCGGAGATCCAGCCAGGCCTCTCTCAGATGTGGTCCACAACCCACGGCGGGCCGTTTTCATGCGACCTGGGCCTCTGGGGGCCCCTCTCGGGCTCTGGGACAATCGTGCAAAACAACCCGCGACGGAAAAACGGTGCCCGGGATGGGATGGAGAGCTCAAGAATACGACGTCGGAGGTCTGGAGAAATAAAAGCCCATAATTGCCAGGCAAGCCGCGGGCCTGAGCTGGATCGACTCGCGAAATCGGATCGGGTCGGAAACGGATCGAATCGCCGGCGAATCGTTCCGAATCGACTCGAAATCGGATCGCCGCGCCTGGCTCCAGCTGGCCCTGGCCGATGGCAGGGGGTCGAGCCCAATCGAATGGGATCGGGCTCGCCGGACCAGCCCGCGAATCGAACCGCATCGACTCGTCGGCGGCCCTGGCCTGGCTCCTTCTGGGGCCAGGACTGGAGTGACGCGCCCTCTTGGCTGGGCCAGGGGCCCAGACATCCGAAATCTTGATGTTTCCCATGCGCGGCTCAAGTCCCGACCCTTGCCCCAGGGCAAGCTTCTTGGCCTGAGCCGATTTTGACAGCCCTAGGGCATAGCGAGGGCCCCCAGGCGCCGAAAATAACCAACAACCTTCGTCTTCTGTGTGTCCGTCTTCTTCTGATCTTCAATACCCGTCGGTCGGAAGAAGCAGATCAAACACATGAAGTAGGAAGGCAGATAAAGTAGGTTGGGTCCAGGCCCTGCGAGAAAAAAGCAACACACAGCAAACGCAACAACAAAAGCACACATAAAACGCGCTTGCAGTACTTTGGGATTTGGAAAGCCGAAGATACCTACTTTCAACGACCGACGGGTACGTTGGGGGTCCTGGGAGGCGCGCGCACACCCGCGCTGAGACCAGCAATGGTGCCTGGCCAGAGAACGGTTGCCGGTGCACAGCCGCCTTCCCCCCCACCCCCCGCCCTCGCCATCGCTCGGACGTCCATTCGCTCTGCATTTGCCGGCTTCGTGCGTGTAGTTGTTTTGAAAGATGATGCAACATGCTCCTCGATGGTCCCGGCCGACAAAACAAATGCACACGCCTGAGCGATGCCGAGGCTCCCATAGCGATGCCGAGGCCCCCATGGCCTTGCCCGCCACAGCCCACTGGAGGATGAGGTCCACGTGGTCCCTCGAGGGCCAGATGCCGCTCTGCGACATGCCCGCCTCTCGGCGGTTCAGAGGTGGAGCCCCGACGATATGAGGGGCAACGGTAGGGGGGACTGGCATAAGGGGGGGAAACATCCACTTACAACCGGCGATCCATCGCCAAGTATGCATGCACATCAGCGGTGTAGAAGATAGGGATGGTGGTGGTGGTGTGCATGTGCTGCACATCCATAGCCTTTGGGGCTCTAGCTGAGCAGATCGCAAGGCACTGGGTGAGCACGCAACCGCTCGCCGGCCTCGAAGGAAAATAATCACGCTTTGACCCTTCTCGCTCATTTGTTTGGGGACTGGCATATGGGGAAGCATCGACCTAGAATCGGCGATACCTCGCGGATAGATCGGCGACAAGCCTCTGATAGTGAATCCGCACGTTCCTGGTCAGGTTGGGGCTATCGGATTCCTATCGGCGATTGGGAGCCGATACGTTCCTCCTATGCATATCCAGCACTATCGTTGCCCCTGGGGTTAAGAAGTTGGCGGCGCATGCATTTTTTGTTTCGGGGACACCATTGCCGCACGTCAGCCATCGAGGAAGCGGCTTGCAACGGCTCTGTGCCCCTCGCAGGTCTTTATCAACGACCGCCTCACAGATTGGCGAAGCAAACTGAGATCCCTGCGCTCCTCCAACGATGGAATCCTCACTTCTGGAAAATGTGATTCCGGATCCGGCTTCACTCCGAGAACTCGCCATCGCTCGGACGTCAGTTTCCCGTGCATGTTCCTTTTTCGTGCGCGTTGTTTTCAAAGTCACTCGTCCGAGCGATGCCGAGAGAATGCCTCGGGAGGCCTTCGCGCACGCTGGTGGTGTGGCAAAAGGCGCAGACTGTGCAGAGCACGTCCGAGCTGAGCTGCGGGCGGGGAATCCAAAAGCTAAACTGTAAACTGTAAAGGCTAATGCGAAGGGATCAAACTGTAAAAGTCAAACTGTAAAAGGCTAATGCGAAGGGATCAACTGTAAAAGTCAAACTGTTAAGGGTAATCCGTATGGCCAAACTGTAAAGGCTAATGCGAAGGGATCAAGAAGTCAAGGGCTGCCCACCGCCAGTCGCTTCATACGCAAGAGCTGCTGCTTCTGCAAATTCCGCAGCCACTGAATGCGCCGCGCGGACCAGGCCTCCGTCTCCACGTGGCTGTTCGCGTCGTCGCCGACCGCATCGACGTCAGCGCCAGAATGATAAGCATTCGGCGCCGACACAGCTATAGCAGAAAGCGACTCGAACGCGGCGAAATGTCCGCCAGGGCCAACGAGGCCCCAACTCGTTGCATCCGCGAGCCTGTGGAGCGTCTGCAGGTCTTGCGCAGATGAGGCTTCCAGGGGATTTCCCCGCAACCAATCCAGGGCACTCTCGACGGGCTTGCGGTAGGGCGCACCGTCAACGCGAGCGCCCCCTTCGAGGAAGTAGACGAGCATTTTCTCGTGGCCCTGTACAATACGAGCGCCGCAGGCCGACACCTGGAAATCGACGATCAGCAGCAGCGCGGCACGAGCCCCGAATCTCCTCGTGAGCGCTCCCAGCAGCTCGTCGGCCCGGAGCAGCTCCGCCGTCGTGGCCACCGCCCGCACGAAAAGGAGAGCCTTGCCTTCCTCGCCGAGAGCCAGGAAGCGGTCGAACTGACGGCTGTACTTAGATCGCACCTCGGGGTCGCTTATGTCGTCGTGCCAGAAGGAATGCACGTCGGACCTGCACATAGTCAGCCTCGTTCCAGGCACCCGCCTCCGCGTGTGGAAGTCGAAAAAGCCCTCGCCTTCCAGCGGCCGCTGGCCCCCAGCGCCGAGGCCCGGGCGAATTGGCGCACTGAAGCCCAGGTTCAAGAAGTGGAGGATGCCCTCGAGGGTCACGTGGAGCCAGTCGAAAGGCAGCGCCTTGCTACCACGGCCCATCTCCTGGAGGCTCCATTTGGTAAGACTGGAGCAGCCTAGAGACACCACCACAATGTCGTCGTCCGCCTGAACTGCCACCGCACACTCGCGACGCTCGAGGTCGTCGGCCAACAGATCTGGCAGCGGGGCGGGCACGCGTCCGCCGGGAAGTTCCCGCAGCGCGCGCGCCTCGTCGAGGTCCTCGGAGGTCTCGAACGCGTTGATACCGCCAACCGCGCTCAAGTGCCAATGGGTCTCGTCAGCGCAAGCCGCGATGTTCTCCATATTAGTGAACTGCATGGCCTGGATGGGCTTGCCGATGATCCAATCGAGAGCGCACTGCACAGGCTTGGAATAGGGTGGCGCGGGCGTGACGCCGTCCTCCGACACATGATTATCGCCAGAGAGGTAGTACACAAGAAGATTATCGATTCCCTCGACGATTGCAGCCCCTTTTGTCGTCATCTGGAGGTCGATGATGCACAACAGGCACGCGTACTTGCCGTGGCGCTGTCTGAGCACTGCCAGCAGCTCAGGCACATCGGCAAGCTCGTCTGTGGTGGGCACGCAGCGCACGAATAGCACGGGCTGGGCACTTGCATCGATTCGATTGAACCGGTCGATGCGGCGGGTGTACCGCTCAATCATGCCTGGGTCGGTGGGATCGTCATGCCAAAATGAATGGAAACGGCTCTGGTAAGTTGTCATGCTGCAGTTCGGAACCGGCTTCTTCACAGTGAAATCGAAGAAGCCTTCGAAGTCGTGCTCCAAGAAGTGCATGAGGCCAGCGTGGCGTGTACGCATCCAATCAAATGGCAACGTCTCCGCGCCTCGGCCCATGTGTTTGAAGGACAACTTGATGCCGCAGAAACTGCCGAGGGACACGAGCATGATGTGATCTGACCCGCTTCCCTGCTGCCCTACACCAGCGGGCAATTGCTCCAACAAGTCGGACTCCTGCATGCCTGGCTCGTGTGCGGCAGGCCTCGCCGCGGCCACGTCCTTGTGCTGGGCATCTCTCGCGCAATGCCTCGCCTCCATGCTGCGCCTCGCGGCGACCCCGCCGGAATAAGAGCGACAAGCTGTCAGGAGATCTGTAACGCCTTCTGCCAAAACGGCTTGAGCCAAAATGGCTACGGAAGTTGGCGGCGCATGCATGGGGTGGTGCGGGGGGTGGGGTGCGAGGGGGGCGGCGGCTGAGGGGCTTCTTAGAAGGCATTAAATAGCTTTCGCAGGCCCCGGATGCTTCTGGGAAGGCCTCCCGGGTTGGTTCTGAGCAAATGGGGTCTTTCGTAATGCGGTCGCAAACAAAATATACAGTGGCTCATCCTGTGGCGCATGGCGCGTGGCAGGCCCCGCATGCTGTTTTTTTGAGACGTGGGTATCCCCCGCCCGAATCTAAGCCAGGCAGGCTTTCCAGACGCCCCCATGCTTTCTTAGAAGAATTCCCGCCGCCTTCTCAGACAGCCGACCGTCCGACCCCCTCGCGTTCCCCCCCATGGTCGGGGAGACGCAAGACTCGGGTTCAGGGGACTTGGGTTGGCCTGACGGGGCTATCATGAAATTGACGAGACCCAATCTGAAACTTGACGCGAACTCCCGCTGCAAACATCCCACGGAAACTGGACCGTCAAAATCCGGGACGCGCTCGTCAAAAAACGTCAGCAAACCCGAGTTCCGGCGTACTCGAGTCTTCCGTTCCCCCGACATGGGCGCCGCCGAGGAAGGGAGTATGGGCTGAACTTTTAAACAGTCCGAGGCCCCTCGTCCTCAGGGTACGACGAAGCCAGGACGAAGCTAGCATCGGGCGATGCTGAACGATGTATACTGAACTCCAAGAAGATCCCGCATACAGTGAAGGCCCGACCACAAGAAAACTGCCACAAGAAACCCAACCCTGATACCCCCCGGACGTCCATCGATTTTTGGTGTGGGATCGTCTCGCCTTTCACAGCAGACCCATCGAAATCCAAGAAACCCAGGGCACCCTGGAGGCAAGCAGGGTATATCTTGGCACGGGCCCCCACTGTATTTAGCCTAACTGAGCTCAGAGAAAATCCCGCATGTGTGGTGACGCGCGATGTACATCTAGGCCGGCGATACACTTCTAGTCACTAGCACAGGCAACAACATTCAGACCGTGCGCTTTGCACTTGCGTGGGCGGACATCTTGGAAGATAACTCGGGAATCTCTGAGATCCGGCGGCTCTGGAGGATGTCTCGGGCACCGCGGCTTTCTCAGAGCGTTCTCAGAGCGTTCTGGAACGCTCTGAGAGCGTTCTGGAACGGATTTATCCTCGTCCTAGCCCCGTCCGGCCATCCCTCGGGGCCCCACCCGAGGGGCAACGAAAGGGCCAACTCAAGAGGGGAACATCGACCCGGAATCGGCGACACATCGCCGTTCCATCGGCAATAGGCCCAGGGCATGTCCTCCTACAGGCGGATGTTGGAAGAAACATGCAAATTAGGAGTCAAAACAGAATCGAACAATCGTTACCATACTATTTTTTGCCATTCTCGAGTATTCCTCCTGTAGAGGGACCTGCCCGACTTAACTACAGGCCCTCTCGCCGATCTATGGGCGATTGGGGGTCAATGCGTTGCCCCCTGAGCCTGTCCCCATGCCCGGTGCTTCTCGGGCCATCCTTGGCTCTCCGAGGGCCGTTCGGGACGATCCAGGCATCCCCGAAACGCTATCGGCGAGGCGCAGCTGCTGGGAGGCATCCCGAGGCCAGAAGGCCGCCGAGGACCGACGAAAACGCCCGAACACCTCGAGCCTCGAAGCCGACGAATGGGGGTGGGTGGGGGGGGCGATGCCTGGACGAACAAGAACTATGCACACACATACACCGAATCTGGCCAGGCCAATCCTGAGCCCAGGATCGGTGCATACGCCCTCCGGCACTGGCCAGGAAAACATATGCACCGACCCTGGGCCCAGGAAGGGCCTGGCTAATAGACTGGTGCGTACGCACAGTTCTTGGCGCCCCTGTCCCCCCCCCCTACTGTTCGCCCCTGTCGGGTCGGGCGAAAGGGGGGGATAGCAAAGGCGGGGTTTGAGAATCAGCTCGCGTAGCTGATTTTCCCGGCGCCTCCCGGCGCCGGGAGGCGCCCATGTATCGAGGAATGGGCCCCTCGGTCGGGCCGAAACCAGCTGCATGCAGCAGATTTCGTAACCCCCCCTTTCCCAACCCCCCCCTTTCGCCCGACCCGACCCTGGCCCTCTTTGCACCGCCAAGCCTCGATAAGCTCGCAGGCGAGCTCCCGGGCCCCAGCGGCGGGCGCGCCCGCCAGCAGCGGCGCGGGCTTCGCCGCGGCCGCGCCGCAGCACACCTGCCGGAGACCTCCCCGACAGGGTCGGAATAGAGTCAAAACCTGTAGTGGAGGCGCGCTGTGAGGGCGCAAAGACCCCTGGAAGGTCCTTGGACGCCCTAGTTGAAGCTCTTCTAGCGGCGCACTGCCGAACAAACCTAAGGACGCACAAGGTGCCCTTGGGAAGGTTACCCGTCCTTACTATGGATTTTCACTGCAGATGGGGTCGGAGGATCGCGCCGCATCGCCGATGCATCACCGATGCATCGGCGACGCCTCCGCGACGTCGACGATGCATCGGCGACGTCGGCGTGGAGAACATCGGGCTACACATCGAGCCGCGCCGCCGATGCATCGGCGATGCGGCGCGATCCTCCGACCCCATCTCCTCCGACACCACCTGCCGGCTACGCGTAAGCAATGACCATAGGCGAGAGTGACCTTGGGTGCGCGACTTAACAAGGGACGCGGGGTGGTCAAACCCTGGCGCGCAAGCCGCTGCTACCGTTTCGCTTTCAGCGATCGGGGGACCCCATTGGGCCCGCACCAAAGGCCACTTCAGCGAAAGGTCACTCGTACAGTGGAGGCCCGACCACAAGAAGCCTTGCACAAGAACCCCAACCCTGAGACCCCAGGACGTCCATCGATTCTGGGTACGTCACGCCTTCCACAGCAGAACCATCGAAACCCAAGAAACCCAGAGCACCCTGGAGGCAAGCAGGATGCTTCTTGGCACGGGCCCCCACTGTACGCCGAGTCGAGTCTGGGAGGCCCGGAACCTGCCAAAGCCGGCTCCCGGCCCGCTTCAGCGTCAGGGGCGGCACGGTCGCCCCCGCGATGCCCTTGCCTCGGTGGGTGACGCCGGGGCGGGCAGCACAGGGGGGAGGCACTGCACGCACCCCGAGGTCCTGCCGCTGCAATTTCTTTACAGCGGGGGGTTTTGCGCGGTTTCGAGCTCCGGGAACCTCGCAAATCGGTCCGGCTCGGAGAAGGACGCAGAACGATGGGGTCCCGGGCTCCAGTGGTGATTTGTTTCGATGTTGCAGCTTCCCCGGCGTCAGATGTCAAGCTATACTTATGTATCGACAGGCTCCGGCCGCTCACGCCTTTTGGATACTCGTTCTGGGGACCTTCCCAGGCGCGCCCCACTCATGCGTCGATGCTGCGCCGAGCGTCCGTCGGCTTGGGGCGAACTTCAATCGACTTTGAGTCGAACTGGAATCGAACTAGAACCAAACTGGAGTGGAAAAGATCCGTGAGGTGGGCCCCAGGAAGGTCCCCAAAGCGAACATCTGGGCGACGTCTTGCGCGAGATGACACCGCGACCTTACGCCGCGGCTTACGCGGGCCGCCGGCGCGGCACGCCACATTGGAGACGAGGGCGCTCACGCGCGAACGTCGGCGAAGACGACCCCGTTGTTCTGTTCCGCCGAGGAAGAGGAGGAGGAGGAGGAGGAGGAGGAGGAGGAGGAGGAGGAGGAGGAGGAGGAGGAGGAGGAGGAGGAGGCTGAGGAGGAGGAGGAGGAGGAGGAGCGCCCTGGCCAGTTCTTGCAGTGCCCGCCCCTGGGACGCGCGACCTTACGCGGGCAGCCTGCAATAAAGGCCAATCCAAAAGAAACCTTGCGCAAGAAACCCAACCCTGAGACCCCAGGACGTCCATGGATCTTTGGCGTGGGAGCGCCACGCTTTCCGCAGCAAAACCGTCGAAACCCAACCCAGGGCACCCTGGAGGCAAGCAGGGTGTTTCTCGGCATGGGCCCCCACTATATTTCTAGCCAAACTGAGCTCCGCGAAAATCCCGCTTGTGAGGTGACGCGCATTCTGGAACGCACCGAGAGCGTTCTGGAACGTTCTGGAACGGATTGATCCTCGTCCTATCCCCGTCCTAGCCCCGAGGGACAACGAAAGAGCCAGCTCAGGAGGGGAACATCGACCCGGAATCGGCGACACATCGCCGATCCATCGGCAATAGGCCCCAGGGCATGTCCTCCTACAGGCGGATGTTGGAAGAAACATGCAAATTAGTAGTCAAAACAGAATCGAACATCGCCGATCCATCGGCAATAGGCCCCAGGGCAACTGTTCGTGCCAAAGTCGGCGACGACGAATCCGTTGTTGGGCTGCGCCGCTCCTCCTGACGTCTTTTGGCCGAGGACGGCCCTGGTGAGACCGTGCCGTGCCCGCCCCCCGGGGCCGCCCGCCCCTGCGGCAGCGGAGGGACAGAAAAGCTGCACAAACAACCTCCCCCTCCTCCTCCTCCCTCCTCCTCCTCCCTCGCTCTCCTCCTCCTCCACCTCCTCCTCCTCCTCCTCCTCCTCCCTCCTCCTCCTCCTCCTCCTCCTCTCCTCCTCTCCTCCCTCCCTCCTCCTCCTCCTCCTCCTCCTCCCTCCTCCTCCCTCCTCCTCCTCCTCCTCCCCCTCCTCCTCCTCCGACTCCACATCCAATGGAGGCCGAGTTCCGGCGACCTCGAGCTCCGTTCCCCCGACATGGGCGCCGCCAAGGAAGGGCTTCTGGGCCGGACTTCCGAACTGTCCGAGGCCCCTCGTCCTCAGGGTATACGACGATGCCAGGACAAAACTAGCCACGGGCGATGCTGCACGTTGTACTCAGCCAAACTGAGCTTCAAGAAGATCCCGCATACAGTGGAGGCCCGACCACAAGACAACCTTCAACAAGAAACCCCAGCCCTGAGACCCCAGGAGCTCCATGGACTTTTGGCGTGGGGACGACACGCCTTTCATACCAGAACCACCTAAACCCAAGCAGCCCAGGGCACCCTGGAGGCAAGCAGGGTGTTTCTTGGCACAAGCTTCCACTGTACTTTCGCGGAGGTCCGCACCTCGCCATCGCTCGGACGTCCCTTCCCTGTGTTTTTTTTCGGTTTCGTGCGTGGTTTTCCGCCAAATGATCAAGGATGCTCCTCGATTGTCCTCGCCGAAAGAAAAATGCACACGTCCGAGCGATGCCAAGGCACGGGATCTCTTGAATCGGCGCTCGACCCCCCTCCCTGGCGCGCGGAGCGCGCTGGAGGCGGCGGCAGAAGCGCCGCCAGGAAGGCCCAGCGCCGAGCCAAGAACTCCGGGCGGACCTCAGAGAAATCATGCTTCCAACCCAACATCGAGACGCCCAACCAAATCCCTGAAAGAACATGCCCTCTCAAACAGACCGAACAAACGTCAACGTGGCCCTCACCCACGACGAGATCGCCCGAGCAACACACAATACATGAAGGGCCGGCGGTTGGCGGTTGTGACGTGAATTGATTAGAATCATATTCTTGCAATTTGTTGTTTTTCGACTGCAGCCGCCAATGATGCCTACACTGGCCAGCGCTGCGGGGCTCACGTCTGGCGCGCGGCCCCGCGCCAGGGCGGCCTCGGCGCCGGCCACGAGGCCCTCCAGTTCCGCCGCGAAGGACGCCTCCGGCGGCTGCTCCGCAGCCCCAGCCTGGCCATCGCGAGCTGCCGAGGCCATCCCGCGCGCGCTGGAAACGGGGTGCCGCGAGCTGAAACGAAGCGCCGCTCGCCTACTCGCAAACGTGGCCCTGTGCAGGCGTGACCGCTGGTGCGCGGCTTCTGGGGGCCGCAGGGGGGTGGCAGGTTCAAGCGCGCAGGCCAATGCTGGGGCCACCTGTGGGCCAGCACCAAGGGTCACTCAGGCGGAAGGTGACTCTTACGCTTAGCCGAGCCGCGGCAGTGTGCCGAGCCCCGTGCGCAGAGAGGGCTGGGCTTTGGGGGCAGGTCAGAGCCAGCATGCGGTGCGGATCGCACGCGGGGCGAGCAAGAGGGACAAACGGACGCGCCACGAAGGTCGTCGGAGAGCTCCATGGAAAATGTCGGAGGGGCCCATGGCATAGTTCGATGAGGAAAAGTAGGAGTCATGAGGACCTCGGGGAGCCATGAAAATACTCGCGGAACACAACAGATTTCGAGGAGAACCATTGGAGCTAGAGGTCGGGCTGTCCGCTCTATGATCTCCTTTCTTTAGAAAATGATTTACACATGAACGCGAGTGCGGGGCCAGACGCGACATCCTGTCCAACCCGGAGCTCAACAACAACTCAGGGAAAGAAACGCACAATACTAAACTCACGAGCAATGCCCTGGAGCTGGTACATAATCGTGTTCATACCAAACCCTGAGCGCAGCTTTTCCGGAGCCATAATATGTTCGGCTGGCGAGATAGGCTTACCCGCGATCGTGAATCATGGGATGTACTCCCTCGGAACGTCAAACATGTAAATGAGACATCAGAGTCGAGAAAAACAGGCCAGCCCTTCTCCCGATACAGCAATGCGGGGTGAATCGCCTGAGTTAGTTCGTTCAACACGCAACTGCACGCCGAACTCAACCAGCTGCTCCACATGATGCCCCTTTCGGGTGGTCATTAAATTGTGCGGCTTGGTTTGCAGCAGTTGAACTCCTAGTTCTGGACGATTCGATCATGCAATTAACAACGTTGCAGCTTTTCTTCGCTCAATAATTTGAACTCGTGTGTTCTTCTGAACTCAGTTATCACAACAAACATAACCAGACGTGCTTGACATATCAATTCATCAAGCATCTTCGACCCAACTGTGCGCCTCAATGAGCTGGACAACCATGCATTAACCTCCCCGAACTCCGCCACCCATTCGCAAACCAGCTACGGACCCGCGTTCCGAAAGCCACGACTGCCCATGACAAACTAGTGAATTCGCGTTCCGAGAGCCACGACGGCCGAACCAGAAGAAGTATACCCTCGCTCCCGAGACCACCGTCCACTATAACATGCTCCTAACTTCAACGGCCCCGACCCAGTGTACAACCAATGATGGACGCCCACGACGATATTTTTCTAGGTGCTGCATTCAAGCTAAAACCATAAGAAACGCCACAAAAGGAGCACGAAGCCCCTTTCTGGAGCCGAACGCGCCTGGGTGTGCGAGGAACACTAAGAGGAACAGCTCATGGAAGAACCTGAGGAACACCGAGCCCCTTCCGACGCCGAGCACTATTGTGAGGGGCAGTGTCGGGGGGGACCACATCAGGGGGGAGACGTCGAACTCGAGTCTGCGGTGCATCGCGCATAGATCTGCGACAAGCCCCGACAGCGAAGCCGCGCGCAACTGGGGGGGGGGTGGGCCGTCGGGCCCCCATCGGTGATGAACGGGCGATCGCGGCTCGATGCGCTCCCCGCCTCAGCCTCTCCCCACAGCGTTGCCCCTCGTTTTCGGGCCATGGCTCGGCTCTCCAACGGCCGTTCGGCACGATTGGGGCACCCGCTGCGCGCTCCGCGCGAGGCGCGGCCGCTGAAAGGCATCCCGAGGCTGGACAATCGCCGAGAATCGACGAACGCGCCCGAACACCTCAAGCCTCGAACCTGACCTCGACCCTGGTCTTGACCGTGCAGATCCGCGCTGCCGAGGCCACGAACCCTCGCAGCACAGAGGACCCTGCGCCCCCGAGGCTGCGACGGCCCCGTAACCAGAGAGCCGTGGGCCCAGGTGTGCCCACCGAGAGGCCCGAGGCCACGACACAGTGAGAGCCCATGCCAAGAGACGGCCTGTTTCCCTCCAGGGTGCCCTGGGCTTCGTGGATGTCGATGGCTCTACGATGGATAGCGTTGCGCTCCCACGCCACAAATCAGTGAACGTCCTGGGGTCTCAGGGTTGGGTTCTTGTGGTAGGTGTCTTGTGGACTGGCCTGCACTGCGCAGCCTCCCCCGACGGAAAGCAGCTGGCCTGGATGCCCCCGAGGCCAGGAACGAGACAGCGACTTCATCTTGACGGGGCCTCGGGACACACGAACGAAGTGACACAAATCCGAAGATCCCCCAGTATGTTTGAATCCGTTCTGGATGTTTGTTCCCCTCCTTGCACGTTCGCTCCTCCTTACACGTTCGCTCCTGAGGCCAAGATCCTCCGTTTCGGAGCGGTGGAACGGCGCTTCCAGGGCCACGATCCCTGGCAGAATGCGGTGGGCCCGCAGCTCCCGAGGCCGCGAGCCCTTGCAAGGATGGGCGGGGCCGTGCTCCCGCGGCCACCATCCCTCGCACGCGCGCGGGGCCACGATGCCTTTCCGCCCCCTCCTTGGATGACTGTGCCTTCCTGGGAAGACCAAAAAGCACGAAAGAACGCGTTTCGTGGACGCTTGCCTCCAAAAGTCACTGGACACGTCGGAGCCGCCTCTCCTCCGCCCTGAAGCATTTGGCGCGCCCGGAGAAACGGGCCGCCCCTCCCCCCTGGACATCGGCCTCTCTAGCCGCCCCCCCCCCACCTCTCCAAGGAAAAAGAGGGGTTAGAGCCAGGAGGAGGGGGGGGGCTGTGCAAGGGGGCAAGAAGGGGGAATGGGTTCGAACCGGCTCCCCCGTTCCCAATCCCCAAAGAAAATCCCAATTAGGCTCTACCCATTGTTACTCTGATCCAACTTGAATAGCTTCATAATCGGGCTCGGTCCAACTTTCATAGAATCCCACAGTGGCAGGATACAATTCGAATTGAATGGCACGAAAGCTCGATCCAGCTATAACATAATCCTTCTTTAGCTGGACCCACCTCTAATGGAATCCCAGTCGGGCTCGATCCAGCTCTCGTAGGATGTTCACATAGCTGGATCCAGCTATCAGAGAAACCTACTCAGGTTCGTTCCAGCTCTAGTCGCATCCTGTTATGGCTAGATGAATATTATATGCTCATCTCTGCCTGAATCCTAAGAAGGGTTAGCCCAGCTCGATTAGAATATTGCTGAGGGTTCGATCAAACCTTAATAGCATCCTTCTAAGGCTCGATCGTCGTCGTCGTCGTCGTCGTCGTCGCTGCCCGACGGCGTCGGCGACGGCGCAGGCGCTCGCCGTCGTCCGCTGCCACTGGGGAAAGAAGGCCCCCCCCCCCCCCGCTGGTTCGGACCCCCCTCCCTTGCAACGCAGATCCCCCCTCACCCCCTGGTACGGCGGTGGACACACCTCCCTTTAGTAGTAAAGTACCCTTTAGTGAAAACGGCCTAAGACCGAAACCAACGGACCTGGACCCGCAAAAATGACGGCCGCGACGCCCTCTCGCGAACCGAAAAAAGGCAAATTAGCTAATCGACGTGTCATGTCAGGGCAGGTCTATCAACCTCCGACACTGGTTCGACCCCCCCCCCTACTTGGAGGGGGGGGCGGTTCGACCCAACCCATCCCTTCCGAACATCCACACATTGGGGGCTCCGAAGCCGCTGCTCCAAAGATCTCCCCCCTGTTTTGCGGTCTGACTACAGCTTCGAGGAATATCCAGCAGTGGCAACGAGGGCCTGTCGGGATGCCCAAACAAGACAAAGCGAGGAATGGGAACGTCATTGGTCTTTTTTCGTGCTCCGATTCCCTGCTTAGCCAACCTACCAGCTGACCAACCAGTCAGCCAGCCGAGCAGCCAGCCAGCCAGCCAGCCAGCAAGGCAACCTGCCAATCACCGTTTCGAAGCTGGCCCCCGCACGCTTGCACGGAGAATTTAGCTTGGTTGATTCACCGCAGGTTTACGCCCTGCAACTCCGTAGAAATATTGTACGATATGTGGTGTTTTGTTATGTGGTCTGATTTGTGATTCCCGGCCGGGACACCGAACAAACCAAATATGTCCAACTCACCGGGCTAGCTCGGGAGCTTTGGAAACCCCTGCTGTGATTGGAGGAGACTTGGTGGGCGTATCTCTGACGCTAAAACTCTTCGCCCAAATGCGCCGCAATGTGCCAATTGAGAAAAACGTAATGGAATTTACTCTTCCGCCCGAATTTAGCCAAACAGCACCCCTTGAACCGTGATAGGTCTTGAAACACCCCAAATGGTTGGACAAACACTGTCCATATTTTCGGCGACGCTATTGACGGACAGGGGCCCCACCAATAGCGCAAAATGATTATTCCTGCGCGACACCCGCTGCATAACAACGACGACCACGACGACGACGACGCCGACGACGACTACGATTACGACTACGACCACGATGCGATTACGGCTACGACTACGCCTCGATACCGACCACCACTACGATCACGAGTACGACTACGAATATGACAATGAGTCAGACTGCGTACAACGATTACTACAATACTACTACTGCTACTACTACTGCTACTACTACTACAGCTAAGCCTACTCCTACTCCGGCTACTCCTACTATTATTACTACTACTACTCCTACACTAGTGCTGCACCTCCTCGGGCTTCTGCTACTGCCGCTACTACTACGACTACTACTACTACTACTACTACTACTACTACTACTACCACTACTAACTCTACGACTACTACTGTTTCCTCTTCTTCCATTACTACTCCATTACTACTACTACTACTACTACTACTACTACTACTACCACTACTACTACTACTACTACTACTACTACTACTACTACTACTACTACGACTACTCCTACTACTACTACTACTACTACTACTACTACGACTACTGCTACTACTACTACGACGACGACTACTACTGCTACTGCTACTGCTAC